ATAAATTTGTTAGTCTCTAAGGTGCCACAAGTACTCCTGTTCTTTTTGCGGATACAGACTAACACGGCTGCTACTCTGAAACCTGTAAACACATACTAAAAGTTAAGCTTGTGCTTAGCTACTGTCCTAAATAGGGATGCTTCCTGGAAACAAGATTTGTGTGAGCAGATGCACAGGCAAGTATGCAGGTGAATAAGTGGCTAAAATTGGGGGTGAACAGTTCAATAATAATATGTTGAGGTATACCTATCTCATAGAACTGGAAGGGACCTTGAAAGGTCATTGAGTCCAACCCCCTGCCTTCACTAGCAGGACCAAGTACTGATTTTTGTCCCAGCTTCCTAAGTGGCCCCCTCAAGGATTGAACTCACAACCCTGGGTTTAGCAGGCCAATGCGCAAACCACTGAGCTATCCCTCCCCCCCAATATGACAAGCTAGGAGCTGGCAGTAATCCTGGAGAGACAGACCCTTCTATACATAGGAAATGTTTCAAAAATTTCCCATCACTTCTAATATTGGTTCAGTGCCACCATTATGAGCCCTAGTGTAGACAGTGCACCCGCTGCCAATGCCATTTTAAGCCCAGCCTTGTTAGATAGTTGCACACAAAGACTGGCAGACTGTTTACACTAGGACTTCCAAAGTTTTTAACACCATTGCTGGTGTTAGTAGCAGTGGGAAATTTTTGAATATTGCTGTTAGTGTAGAGGGGGCCATAGGATAAGACTGGAACTATACCTGGCATAGAATATAATTTTCCATATAAACACTAGTCAGGCCAAGGCAATTACAAATAAGAAAAGCCTGAAGGCGACTATGGACATATTGATCATTGCCTGGAACTTCTTAAGAAAACTAATTTTTAATGTATATGTTCCCAGTTCTATTCTGAATTAAAAGGGGGAAGAGAGCTCCAATGGACTATAAACTGCCTTTGAATTATTAGGTGCTCCCTTCTGCCAGTGTACCCTTAAAACAGTTATCCATTGCATTACTGAAGGAAGCTTAGTGGGTTTTCTTCTTGAAGTGCAGTTTTTCATATCTTCAAAGAAATCTTATTTTTATCTGAGTGTTGCAGGAGCTGAAAGTGTTGAGTGGAATCTTTTGTAGAAAACTGATGAAACATTAATTCTTTCAAATAACTCAGTGCCTTATGACAATTATATATAAGGCACAATCTAGTTAAATTCTGGGTGCATGACCTACTTGTTTGTACTACTGGCCCCATTACCTTATTAATTCCAAACATTGCTTTTCATCAAACAGGAATGCTTACTGGAATCTGGGCTTGTGTTTGATTGTTACTGGCAAAGAGGACAGCAACAATCACAGAATACAAATCACAAAGAGTCATTTCAAAAGAACGGCTTGTTTCAGGACTGAACATCCATTATATATATTTTGAAAAGGAATAAAGCTAGGAGACATATCAAAGAGAGAAAACAAATACAAAATAGACAATATCAAATAAATAGAAGGGAAAGGACAGATTCGAAAATAGGAAATAATTGAATCAAAGAGGAGGGGAACAATGTAAAGAAACACACGGCTGAAGGAAAAGCACGTCGACTTTTTTTAATATTAAGAATGTTTTTAAAAGGGGTAGGTGTGAAAAAAGGTAACTGGAAGAAAAAGTTGGGGTTAGATACTCAACTGGTATAAATTAAAATAGTTTCATTGCTGGAGCAGTGATGGAGCTAGACCAGCTGCGGGTCTGGCTCTTAATTTGGAATGCACAAATGTATGAAAGCCACATGACAATTTGTACACGGAGAGAACTTTGTAAATTAGTGAGTGTAGCATTCAAAAGTGTTTGAATTAAATACCAGCTTTGGTCAACCTGGAAAATGTAGCAGTGGTATTCCTTTAAGATCCACACACAACCCAACGTCTACCTGCTCAGGGCACCAAAATTAAGTACCACTACCAGTGGATTGGGCAGATCTTCAGAATTCCATCCTCCCTCTTCTCATTTGCTTCCTTTGATTAGCAGTGAAATAGTTAATAATTTTGCCATAGGAATTATCATTAGGTTTAAGAATTAACATCTCATCTAGATGCATAGGTCAGTTCACACCTCTCAGAGTAGATATTCCAGCATTGGTTTACACTCCTTCTTACCCATAAGGGCTAGAGATTTAAATTGTTTTGTAAAGCTTAGATTTCACAGCACACAATGGCAGCCTCCAAACCATTAGCATCTCACAAACTCATGTCAAGGCGGACTCGTCTGACTCCTGTATTTGGCCTGTTAACATGCCATACTGGAATGGGATATCGTCTGTACAGTTTGGGATAAAGTCAATAATCTGCTCCTCTTTCAGAGGTAAATGAATAAAAGAGCCAGGGACCATATTGCTTTTAGTGCCAACTGATCTGTATAGCTGAGTGCAAGAGAAATTTTCATTTAGAGGCAAGTTCTGTTCTTCGATACACTAGCAGCAGAGTTGCTCTGATTACCCTGTAGCGTGAAATTTGGCTCCAACTAAAGACTGCAAGATTTGGCAAATACATTTTAAGAACTGGTACATTAGAAGCTACCCTCATTGTTGGTCAGGACTAACTCTTGTAGTCAGCATCCCAAGTTGTTTCATAATGGAACTTATTATTGGTGTCATATTAACAGCCAGCATTGATAAAAATGTGTTTTTGATGAAATGTGATGAAATTTGATGAAAAAGTGTTCACATTCTCAATTAGCTTGAGAAATAGAAACTAGTCAGTGGTTATTTTGAAGGATGTTGAGTATTAAACATCACTTATAGTCTCATCTGTTTTAGAAGCCCTTTCTAGAAGATTGATCTTTTGAAAATTATAGTCTTTTCTTAATACCCATCAATGGATCTGTAACCTTTTGGACTTGGCAAATGTAGAAAGAATTCCTTACAGGCATTTAAAGGAAATGGGACCAAATGTTTTGATGACTGAATCAACTAGCTATCACTTCTATTAATTTTTAAGTAGGTTTGACAAGCCCTCTCCTGGAGATACAGTGGATGATGCGGCCAACTGTTGTTCAGTAACAGTAGTGAAAAAGCTATTTATTGCTCAACCATATGCACATTTATTTCCCCTTGTCTGAGCATTTTCTCTCAGGATAGAAGCGCCACCACAGAACTGGTACTGCAGGCAATCGTTCAAACTTAATGACCAACTGATGGCTGACTCAGGTACTTTCCCTCTAGCTCTTCTTAATAGAACTTTCAGCAGCATTTAATACTGTCAATCCCTGGATGTCTATAATAGATACAGAACAACTTTTAATGTTTCCTCATCTTCCCCCTCCCAAGTTTTGGAGACTGGGCCATATTATGCTATTAGGTACAGGGACTTAATCTACTCTTCTAGTTGACATTCAACAATCCACCTCTGGTTGTCATGGAATGCTAATTCATTTTTATGGTGTCCCATGACACCACTAACTAAAAAGAAAAACGGGAGAAAGAAATAGTAACACACACACACACACACACACACACACACACACACACAAAAGCACCCTGGCAGAGAGGAGGAAGGACAGAAAAACAGGTTAAAAATGGAAAGAGATAGGAACATATGTTAGGATGAGCAAAGAGACAAACATTTTCCCCCAAGTTATTCACCCTTTCTGCTCTTTTTTCTTCTCCTTCTGTATCCCATTCAAATTCTTTCACCCGTTACCATTTTTTTCCTATTTCCATTCTTTCCTTCTTGCTTGTTTGATCAGATTTTCCATTTCCTCCACCCCCATCCTTATTAATTTTGAAGATTAATTTCAAAACACTCTCACTTGCTGCATCGGCAATAAGCTCGTTCTCACCCATGGCAAATCTCAGAGGACAACATTGTTTGTGATCTTAGTTTAGAAAGACTTTTGACATCATTCCAAGCATTGAATATAAATAACCATAAACAACATGCACCTTAACCAGTCTGTACCTTGCTGCAGGGAGCGATCCAGTATGCTATGGCGAGGAAAGGAAGGCCTACCGAGACTCCAAAGACAGCCAAGAATTTCACAGCTATAGACTGCTGACGTAAGCCTGAGAGATTTTCATACCACATGGTGAGCAGTTGCTGCTGACAGTTGGGATGAGCAACAAACTGTAAACAAAAAAGAAAAATTAAAAAATAAAGGTAACTGTAGCATTTCCAAAGAGCATGAGATTTCAGAAAGCAAACTGCTGTGCCTCAAACGTAGACTGCAGTATGGAGATAGACAGCGGGTTATAGTACGTTCTGCAGCCCAGCAGAGCCAAGCATGTTTTGGTTTTTGTAATCAGCCATAGCTCATAGTATAATTGTTCAGCAAATTGCAAATTAGTCTCTCTAAAGATGTGCTCACTGGCAACATTTGTTCAGCTCTCATCTTCTGTTTCTCTTGTAGGGACAGACTTTGCTATACCTGATCAGACCAATGGCCCATTAATCTAGTATCCTGTCTCAGACAGTGGCCAGTGCCAAAGGAGAGCTAATGTCAGGGGTGGAATTTGAACCTTAACTCCCGGGAGCACTGCAACTTTAGCACAGCTCTATGGACTCTGCATCCCTTCCTCTTTATAATCATTACCACCATCACCATTAATAATAATAAGAAGAAGGGACAAATCCTGAGGACTTCACTCATTTTTTATACAGATTCTACATTAAAGCCACTAGGATATGAAGTAACCACTCTAGAATTAGGGCATACAGGCCCCTATTCAACAATCACTTAACTCCATTCACAGGCTTACGTCCATCCCTATTCAGCAAACATCTTAAGCACACGCTTAAATGCTTTGACGAATAGGGATGGACTTTTGCATGTGCTTAAGTAGTCTGCTAAACTGGGGCCATAATGAATATATCAGCAAACCAGTTTTTATGAAAGAAAAAGGGCCACTAGCAGTTTCAGAGCCACTGTTCAGATTTCATTTTCCATGTAGCAAACAATGAGGTGAAGTAAAACTTATATTTAATCAAACCTTTGTCAAAGGCGAATGTATAGGGCAAATTTTTTTGTACAAAACAAAATTAACTACGTATTAGTTTAAATGTTAAACCAGCATTAACATCTCCTTGCAGGGGCAGGGGGGAGAAATCATACATTTGGGAATATCAATTTGATATTCAATTTGCGCTTCAAACGTGAACTGAGATGGGATTGATGCTTGAGTAAAGAGGAGCTATGAAACATTGCTATGGACTGTGACCTAGATGATAAAAAAGGTTTGTAGCTAAGTAGAATTTGTTATTCAGTTACACTGACTACCCATAGACCCAACGAGAAGGTTTTTTCCCCCCATTTGCATCATTCTATTGCTTCAACATAGTACAAAATGTTAGGCTGGTCCTTGTAATTAGCAAGTGTAAACTCTTTATCTGAGATTATCTTTAAAATAAATGGAAGAGCATTACTCACGGATCTGCAAAACAGTAAATGAGATACAAAATACACAAGACTGCTCATGTACACACAGTACGTATCCCAAAGTTGAGATTCTTCTTCATTCTTTCTGCACCACAGAAAAGAACATGCTAGTAGCTGACAATCCAAAGGCCAGTTTCCTAATGGAAGAATTACAGCACCATTGGGTCTCATGGACTCATTTTATTATAGAAGATTAAGAGTCTTTGGTTCCCATCTTCCCACAGAGTGATTCAATTTACAAAATGTATAATGTGACTACTTTTTAATTATGTTTCATTATGATTAAAGATAAGGATAATTAAAAGAAAAGATAAAAGGAAATATGTTATTATTGTAGTTAATTTTGTTAGTGAGGAAGGAGTTGTCCATTTGTGGGTTTTGAATGGTATTGAATAAGAGAAGATTAAAAATATTGAATATTTCTCCAGTCTTTCCAAAATTGGGAATAAAGAAAAAAGTCTGGATTTGAATGGATTTATAGTAAAATGACACACAAAAAATGAAAAGGACAGAAAGTCTAACTAGTGCTTTCATATTAACTATCTTTGTGATAACTAACACATGGGGGGGGGGAAAATCACACTAATATCTGTTTATATAATGGAAAGTTACACTTGGTTAAAATGTGTTTTTAATTGTTTCTTTATTGCTAGTACAGATTGAAATACAATAACATGCTAATTAGGATTACTGTGAAACGGTGATTTCTGTTCGGCAAATAACAGCACTTTAATATATGGTTTTCAGTTAAAAGGCAAGCTTTCGGGCCTATCTTTGGATTTACAAATACTGCTGAGTTGAGCTGAGCAAACAGTTCATAGTGAATAATTTATTTGACAAAACAAATTTTGCCTTTTTCTGTACACAAATTTTCCCTGGGGGAGTTTACAATTTTCTTTAATCCATATATTCATCTAAATTTGCAAAAATAACTACAACAAAAAATTCTTGGTCTATAAATAATTGGTCAGCTGTTCATTGTGAGCATTTCAAATGTGAGCTTAATTGGTGACTATGGCCATCTGACTATGAATTACAGGGGGTCCCCAGTATACATCTCCCCCTTATCTGTTGACGCTCATCAATAGGGGAACGTGTTCCGATTTACGTTGGTGATCCAAATATCTGTCGTTTGCCCGGATCAGGACCGATGTGAATTTGAACATGTTCCCCTATTGTCCAGTACAGTACTGTACTTGAGTCCGCCGGCCATGTTCAAGGCTTATTACCTATGGAGAAAGTTCTCCATGCTGATTTAGGAGATGGCAGGTGAAGGACAGCCCAGTGTAAATGCGTTTTGGAAGTCCTAAACACCTTGAATGGCGTGGAAAACATTGACGCGTCGTGGGAAGCAGTCACTTCGCAATACATGAACGGTGTTTGGTGCTGTGAATGGCCAGATGCTGACCACAGCTTCGTGGGATTTGATGCTGTTCCTGCTCTCGAGCAAGAAATTGTCACGCTAGTGAAGGATGTCTGCTTCGAGGAGGTAGAGGAGAATGATGTACAGGAGTTGTTGGAGTCTGACACTGAGCAACTGACAAATGAGGAACTGATTGAGCTGGACCAACAACAGATATCCGAAGAAAGCAAGGATGAGGATGACGATGATGTAGGGCAGGATGCCAGGAGTTTGATGACAAAGAATCTCTCCAGTTTCTTTGGATTGCTGAATGAGATGACGGAAATCATACGGGGGGGATCCTTTCCATGAACGGTCTGCCAAAGTCTCCAGGGCTCTCAATGATGCAGTTGCTTGCCACAGGGAGATCTATCGTTCAAAGATTCATGCAGGAGAGCAGACGTCAAAAAAATCTTCTTTTAAGACTTCTGCAACCAAAAAGCCAGCCACGGAAAAGGCAGCCAAAGAAAACCCAGCCGCCACCCTACCTAAGTTTAGCGTAATTGACACTGTTTTATACTGTTCTGTATTTACTGTATTAAAATGTTCTGTGTGTTTGAATGGTGTTAGTAGGGTTCTACATTATTTTATTCAATGTTTTATGTGTAAAATGTGTACTGTATAATCTGTCATTGTAGAAAGATACACTGTTTAGGAGAAAAGAGCATTGTCATAGCGGACATGCCAGACTCATGAAAAAAATGCAGAAATTGGGCTTGTTTTTGGCTTAATTGGCTTGTGAGTTGCTTGTTGGCTAGTTTTTGGTTGGTGGCTTGTTGCTTGTTCGGCTTGTAGCTTGTTGCTTTTTTTTTGGATCAGCTCCTGGCAAGCAGGGGCAAGCGGGGGGGAGAGAGAGAGTCAGGGGTGCACAGCAGGCCCACCACAGTCCCAGAGTGCAGGGCGGGAGGGGATCTAGTCAAATAAAGTGTTGGGGTTCTCAGGGATTGGCTTGTTTTGGCCTTGTTTTGAAATGGGATTAGCTTGATTTTTGGCTTATTGTGAAAGTCAGGGTGCTTATTTACCACGTGAAAGTTGGCAACTGTGTGTTCTAGGCGAGTGTGGTGAAGTTGTGAATGCATACCTCCTTTGTTCCATTATTTCTTATGGGGGAAAATTCCCCGGTATACATCGTTTCAGTATCCATTGCCCTTTTCAAGAACGCAACCCCTTGGAAACCACCCAAGGTAAGCGCTGACCCCCTGACTGACTGCACCCCGCATTCCCTCCCGCACCCCAAACCCAACCCCCTGCCCCAGCCTGGTGAAAGTGCGTGAGGGTGAGGGAGAGCAAGCAAGGGGGGTGGGGAGTGGAGTGAGCGGGGGTGGGGCTTCAGAGAAGGGGCGGGACAGGGGTGTGGCCTCAGGGAAGGGGCAGGGCAAGGGTCTTTGGGTTTGTGCAATTAGACAGTAGGCAACCCTACCGGGCAGGCATGTGGAAGCTCTGGCCATGCCGGAAGAGTGCGCGCAGCAGCGCAGCTGGCAACTCACTGGGCACCAGCCAGTGCTGGCACAGCAACACCCAAGTGTCAGGCGGACTGCGTCCCCGTGGATGTGGCTTGTGTGTGCGTGGGGGCCCACTGACTGTTCTGCCCTGGGGCCCGGAATTGCTGTTGGCGGGTCTGCATGCTAGTTACCATCCCAAAGAATCTATTTGACATTTGAATCTATTTATTGTTTCACTGTTTCTGGAAACAGCTACAATGAAAAATGAAAAAATGTGGAAAATGAGAAGAAATTGCCATAAAAACTGGATTTATTGGAATGATTTATTTTCTCTTACACAATTTAGATTGGCAATGTGCCATAAAGCCCTCATGACATTCATCTTTTTCTGACTAATATTAAAAGGAGGGAAGAATAAAATCAGAGAGGGAAGATAGCTGATTAGAATTAATTCAAGCGCTCATTTTCTGATAGTACGCTACAATTTTTCATTATGTTTGCTCCATCAGATATTAATGACATTCTCAGTGACCCTTGACTAATGCTAACTTTCCCTCTATGTTGATCAAAATGTCATAAATTGATCTTAGATTCTCATCAAACGCTTACATTACAGATGTATTTAACTTTCCTTTCTGGGGATCAACACTGACATTAAATTAAAAGATGACACTAAAGGCTTCGCTAGTATCCTGGGCACAGAAAATAACAGAGTTCAAAACAGACCAAAGGAAATGTGTTTTTATGATAGTGAAGTTGTAGCAAATGAGGAATTGTGATGTATTACATTTAATTCTAGAAGGCCAAGTTCTGCAGAGCTTTATCAAGCAGAACTCTCATCAACTCC